CACATTTCACCTGTGGCTCAAGCCACAAGCATTTCAAAAATTAAACAGCTTATAAAAATAGTGGAAAAATTTTAGCTGGGAGCATAGAACTAAAATCAACTCATTCCCTGGCAAAGAGTTCTTCCAAAATACCACCCACATCCATGAGAAGTGTGTGGCAAGCTGTCCAAGGCTGCTGGCACTCTGGCATACCCTCCCTCAGGTGGGCTTCAGAGGTGCAGGGATAGTGGCTGACACCTGTTCCAGGTAGGTCAGGGAGCCCTGAGGCATGTCAGCTGCACACTGATGTCTTCCAGCACCTGCTGCCAGTGCCTCAGCTTTGTCAAGTGCTTCTGGACTAGTGCGTCTTTCAACTGTAATTCATTCCTTAGCTCAAAGATGTCCTCTTTGATAACTTGCTCTGGTTTCTGGACAGATAACTGCAATCTTTTTTGTAGAAAAAAAAACATTCTGTCTGTCTTGCAATATCCAGAAGGTTCTGGATACACTGATCAACACCAGTTCGAATTTCTTCCTGATCAGTGCCATCGACATAGTCCTGACTCACCAGAGAAGCAAAACAAGCCTCGAAAGATGACTCCAACTCGTCCACCAAAGTACTGTTAGAAGGTCTCGGAGCACCTGGCACTGCCTGAAGCAGTGAAGCCTGGCCTGGGAGTCCCGGTGGGGGTGGGGAAGGACCCAGTGGCTGCCCAGAGAACATGCCGCCTAGCAAAGCTGCCATGGTCCAGAGCCAAGAATCAACATTGTTAAAATGAAGTCTATACTGCCCAAAGTGATCTACAGATACAATGTGATCTCCATTAAAATACAAATGTCATTTTTCACAGTTCTATAAAAGATAATCCTATACTTTGTATACCCTATATAGCAAAAGCAACCTTAAACAACAAGAAAAACTCAGGGGCATAAATTTGCAAGACTTCAAGCTATACTACAAAGCTATAGTAACAAAAACAGTATGGCACTGACACAAGAATAGAGACATAGACCAATGGATGATAACAGAGAACCCAGATATAAACCCCTCCTCATATTGCCATTTGACAAAGCAGACAAAAACATAGGGGAAAGAATCCCTATTCAACAAATGGTGCTGGGAGAACTGGGTATCCACATGTGAAAGACTGAAACTAGACCCACACTTTTCTCCAGTCACTAAAATTGATTCAAGATGGATAAAAGATCTAAATCTAAGGCATGAAACAATAAAAATCCTCAAGGAAAGTGTGGGGAAAACACTTGAAGGTATTGGCCTAGGAAACTTTGTGAAGAAGACTCCAGTGGCAATTGCAACAGCAACAATAAACAAATGGGAATTAAACTGAATAGCTTCTGTATAGATTAGGAGACAACAACCAAACCAAGCATACAACAATCAGAATTGGAAAAGATGTTTGCATATTAGGTATTGACAAGAGCTTAACAACTAGGATCTACAGAGAACACAAATTAAGCAACATAAAAGGAGCCAACCGGGCAGCACCGGTGGCTCAAAAGAGTAGGGTGCCAGCCCCATATACCAGAGGTGGCAAGTTCAAACCTGGCCCCAGCCAAAAACTGCAATAAATAAAAGAATAAAAAAAATTAAAAGAGCCAACAATCCCTTATATCAATGGGGAAGAAAGATGAATACAACCTTCTCTAAAAAAGACAGACGAATGGCTAACAAACATGAAAAAATGCTCATCATCCCTAATTATCAGAGAAATGCAAATCAAAACTACCCTGAGATATTGCCTAACCCCAGTGAGAATGGCCCACATCACAAAGTCTCAAAGCTGCAGATGTTGGCATGGATGTGGAGACAAGGAAAAAACACTTTTACAGTGCTGGTGGGGTTGCAAACTAATACAGCCTTTTTGGAAGGAAGTTTGGAGAATCATCAAAGAACTCAAAGCAGACATCCCATTTGATTGTTCAATCCCATTACTGGGCATCTACTCAGAAGAAAAACAAAATCCTTTTATCATTAAGGACATTTGCACTAGACTGTTTATTGCTGCTCTATTTACAATTGCCAAATTGTGGAAACAACCTTAATGCCCACCAATCCAGGAATGGATTAACAAGCTGTGGTGTATGTATACCATGGAATACTATTCTTCCACTAAAATATATGGTGAGTTTACATCTTTTGTATTAACATGGATGGAGCCAAAACATTCTTCTTAGTAAAGCATCACAAGAATGGATAAGCAAGACTCCAGTGTACTTAATTCTGATATGAGACAGTTGATGCTAGTACATGGCAGAGGGTGGGGGAATGGGGGAGTGGATTGAGGGAAAGAGAAAGAGGATGTGGGATCATGATGTGTGACACACCTCTTGGTGGTGGGACACAGTTATAAGAGGGACTTTACCTAACAAATGCAAGCAGTGTAACCTGGTTCTTTGTACCCTCAATGAATCCTCAACAATAAAAAAAAGAAAAATTGCTCATCATTTCTAATCATTAGAGAAAGGCACATCAAAACCATAATGAGATAGCATTTAACTTCGGTGAGAATGGCTTTTATTAAAAAGTCCCAAAACAACAAATGGTGGCATAGATGTAGAGGTAAGAATACTCATACACTGTTGCTGGGACTGCAAACTAGTACAACCTCTATGGAAATTAGTATTGTCAAATGATAAAACACAAATATAGTCTAGCAAGGGAGAGGGGAGAGGAAGTAGAGAGAGCAATTGGTGGGAGGAGAGAGGGTATTTGGAGGAATGTCACCTAATGTGTACAATACAACAATATATTTCAAAATAACTAAATTTTAAATGTCTTACAGCAAGTAAGTGTGATAGATATATTAATTAGTTTGATTTAAGCATTCCACATTGTATATCAATTCATCACATTCTACCCCATAAATGTATACAGTTATGATTTTAATTAAAAATTAAATTAGAAAAAAACAAAGTAGTATAGACATACCTCCCTCTCTTTTTCCTCCTATTCCATTTGATGTACCAATCCCACTGCTAGGTGTTAATTAATCAAAATAAAAAAAGACATTTTATAAAAAATAAACCAGCACCCAAATGTGTATAGTAGCACAACTCACAATTGCAAGGATATAGAAACAATCCCAAGTGCCAATCAACACGAGTGGATTAATAAATGTGGCATATGTGTACCAGGGGATAATACTCAGCTATAAAAAGGGGGGTGGACTAATACCTATTGTATTAACCTGGATGGAAAAACAAACACCAAACGTACTCACTATTAAATTGGTACTAATCAGTCAACACTTATGTGCACATGTAGAAGTAGAACTCATCAAAAATCAAGTAGGTGTGATGGGAGAAGAGGGAAGAGGTAAATTCACACCTAACAGGTACAATGCACCCTATCTGGGTGACACCTATAACTTTGACCCAAATGGTGCAAAACCAATGTATGTAACCAAAACAAGTATACTCTTGTAATATCCTGCAATGTAAAGAAAGGAAAAGGAAAAATATTTGCACCAAATATGGGATGGTTAAAGCAAAGAATTCTATGGCTTAATAGTATTCCATAGTATGTATATTCCACATTTTATTAATCCATTCATTTATTAATGGGCACTTGGGTTGTGTCAGCAAAACTCAATGAAATTCAAGTATATTGGTAGGAAGAAGGCAATGGGTAAATTCCTACCCAGTGTATACATTGTATGGGTCCATTGCACACTTTCTGAGTGAAGATCATACTAATAATTTTGACTTAAATGATATAGAAACAAGCTATGTAAATAAGGAGGGTGTACCCACACAGTATTCTGAAGTTTTAAAGAGGAAAAAAAAGAATTATATACACTATTCTAAATGGTATAAAGTATTTGAAAAATTTGTGATTATATTTGAATGCATATTTTAGGTTAGATTTACAAAACGTAAGTTGTACACAGCATGTGAGTTGCTACTGATGAAAGTATTTGAAATTGTTTTCACTAGAAGTTTTCAAAAATACCCTAAATTTATTTTTTTATCAAAATGATATAATGATAGAACCTCAGTCTCAAATGAAGAAAACCTTCATAACCTTAATTTCATAATATTTCCCCCAGCATTTATAGTCTAAAATTATCTAGAAGAAAGTGTGTTTTATATAGTAAATAAAGTACTGACCTGAAAAGAAATAGGATGGGACATGAATAGGCAATTCATAAAAGAAATACAAATAGCCAGTAAGTACATAAAAACACGCTCAGTCTTACTAGAAATAAAATTAAAACAATGTGTTCTTGTTTTACTTATCAGATTAAGAAATATTTTTGCCCACTTTCGTCAAATGTGTGGGAAAACAGTCACTTTCTATTATTGTTAATGGAAATATCAGCACAACTCTTTCAGTGGGTAATTTGTCTCTATAATTTTTTTAGTAAGTGTTACCTTTGTCCTAAGTTCTACTTGTAGGAATTTAAAGAAATAATAGAGTAAGTGCATAAAGATGTGGGTAATGATCTTTATTACAATGTTTATTATAATATAAAACTATATAAATGTTTGCTATGGAATCATTTTTAGCTATTACAAAGAATAAATTAGAAAAAAATGGGTCACAGAAGAGGATGTGCAGTATAAATCCTTCTACATAAAATCAGATAATTGTTAGCTTTCCAGGCATTTGTATGCTTATATAACACATATGTAAACAAAAGTTCAATGTATGACATAATGTTTATAGAATGTTTAGAATAGGCTTGGCACATAACATTCAGCAAATGGTTGCTGTTGTTATTGTTAGCATTAAGTAGTCATTAAGCATTCTGTTGTCAGACACTGTGCTAAGTACTTATGATAAGTATAATAATGCCTTTGAGGAACTCTGTCTACTGGTCATCATTCCTAACCATTTGCCCATTCTGCAGTGCTATTAGTTCTCAGATAGTGGTCAATGAGGAGTGTTTCATTTGTACCATCACCCCAGAATGTTAATTTCAAATAATTGAATGATTTTCCCCTAATTGAAAGTTAAAACCACAAATACATTGTTTTAAAATTCTCTTCATTTCAAGATGAAGATGGAACCAGCTTGAATTCAAGTATACTGGCAGCACTCCAAAAAATGCAGGATGGCTATTTTGGTGGGGCAAGGTAAGTGACCCTCCATACACTCTTTAGTGAAATAAAATGATATTTGATATAGTAATCTCAGATTTGTGATGCCTTTCTGTGTACTGTAGTCCCCCTATCCAGAATTTTGCTTTCTGAGATTTCAGTTAACAGTGGTTAACTGGTACCAAAATAATTGAATATGGTATACTAAGATTTTTTTTTATTTCTGATTAATATGAGGGTATGGAGGTTAGGTTATAATCTTTACATTTGTTAGGTAAGGTCCTATTTGTAGGTTTTCCTGCACCCAGGAGGTGTGCCATATACCCTTACATAGTTCCCATTAGTTGGGAGCACACGAATCCCCCTCCCTTCTCCCCTTCTTTTGAGTTTTTCTCTTATGTGGGAGTAAATTATTTTGTCTACTGGCTTCATATTAGTATTGAGTATACTGGATACTAGCTTTTCCATTATTGTGTTACTTTACTAAGGAGAATGTTTCAATTCCATCCAGGTAAATAAAAAACATACAAAGTACAATTTTTTATGGCTGAAAAGTATTCCATGGTATACATATAGCACAGTTTATTAATCCATTCATGGGTCAATGGGCATCTGGATAGTTTCCTTGGTGATTGTAAATTGAGCTACGATAAACAATCTAGTCAATCTAGTGCAAATATCCTTATGATAAAATGATTTTTTTTTCTTCTGGGTAGATGCATAGTAGTATGATTGTGTGATGAAAAGCAAGGTCTATTTTGAGTTCTTTGAGGATTCTCCATACTTCTTTCCAAAGAGGCTGTATTAGTTTGCAGCCCCACCAACAGCATAGAAGTGTTCCCTTTTCTCCATACCCTTGCCAATATCAGCAACTTTGGTACTTTGTAATGTGGGCTATTCTCACTGAGGTTAGGTGATCTCTCAGGATTTTGATTTGCATTTTTCTGATGATTAGGGACAATGGGTTTTGGGTTTTTTTTTTTTTTTTTTTGCAGCTTTTGGCTGGGGCTGGGTTTGAACCCACCACCTCTGGCATATGGGGCCAGGGCCCTACTGCTTTGAGCCACAGGTGCCGCCCAATGAGCATTTTTTTCATATGTGTATTAGCCATTCATCTGTCTTCCTCAGAGGAAGTCTGTTCATGTCTCTTGCCCAGTAATACATGTTTGCTCTTTTTGTTGATTAATTTGATTTTTCTATAGATTTTAATCATCAACCCATTGTCACATTCATAACACACAAATATCTTCTTCCATTCTGAAGGCTGTATGTTTGCTTTAATTGTTGTGTCCTTAGCTTTACAGAAGCTTTTTAGCTTAAGCCTCATTTATTTATTTTTGTTGTTGTTTTGCTTGCCAATGAATGGGGTGTTCTTCATAAAATCTTTCCCCAGTCATATATCATCAACAGTTTTCTCATGCTTTCTTCAGGATTTTTATTGTTTCGTGTCTTGGATTTAAATCTGTTATACACTATGAGTCAATTTTTGTAAGTGGTGAAAAGTACAGGTCCAATTTCAGTGTTTTACATGTGGTTATCTAGTTTTCCCAGCACCATTTATTGAGCAAGGATTCTTTCCCCCTGTGCATGCTTTTGTTGGTTTAGCAAAGATAAGATGGAAATAAGAGCCTGTTTCATCTTGAAGTTTGCTATTCTGTCCCATAGATCTGTGTGTCTATTTTTGTGCCAATACCATGCTGTTTTGATCACTATGAACTTGTAGTATAACCTCAAGTCTGGTAGAGTGATGCCTCTGGATTTGTTTTTATTACCAACAATTACTTTGGCTATAGGGATATTTTCTGAGTTCTATACAAAATGAAAAATAATTTTTCAAGTTCTTCAAAGTATGCTGTTGCTATTTTAAGGTGGATTGAATTAAATCTGTAGATTGTTCTGGGCAATAATGATTCTTCCTAGCCAAGAACATGATATAATCTGCCATATGTTAATATCTTCTGGTATTTCGTTTTTTTAATTTATTTTTTATTAGATCATAATTGTGTACATTAATTCTATCATAGGATACAGTGTGTTGCTTTCATATGCAGTGTGGAAAACTCTCCTCCAACTGGCTAACATAGCCATCATGACTTTCTCATAATTGTTGTGTTAAGACATTTATATTCAACCTTTAGACAAATTCACATGTACCCTAATAGGATAAATTATAGGCGTGATCCCCACAATATTATTCTCTTCACCCATACTCCCCCCTCCCCTTCCCCTCCTCCCCTTTCCCCATAGTCTAGGGCTCCATTTGGATTGTAGCTTTCCTAAGATAGCTAATAATTAGTTTCATAATAGTGTTGAGTACATTGGATATTTTTTCTTCCATTCTTGAGATACTTTGCTAAGGAGGACATTTTCCAGCTCCATCCATGTAAACATGAAGGAGGCAAGGTCTCCATCCTTCTTTGTGGCTGTATAGTATTCCATGGTGTACATATACCACAATTTATTGATCTATTCATGGGAAGATGGGCACTTGGGCTTCTTCCATGACCTAGCAATTGTGAATTGGGCTGCAATGAACATTCTGGTACAGATATCTGTATTATAGCATGCTTTATGGTCTTCTTGATATATACCTAACAGAGGAATTATAGGATCAAATGGTAGATCAATATTTAGATCTCTGAGTGTTCTCCATACGGTTTTCCAAAAGGGATGTATTAGTTTGCATTCCCACCAGCAGTGTAGTAGTGTTCCCTTTTCTTCACAACCCCACCAGCATCTGTGATTTGCGGATTTTGTGATATGGGCTAATCTAACTGGCGTTAGATGATATCTCAGAGTGGTTTTGATTTGCATTTCTCTGATGATTAAGGATGGTGAACATTTTTTCATATGTCTGTGGGCCATGCATCTGTCTTCTTCAGAGAAGTTACTCTCTTGCCCACCCTGCGATGGGATCATTTGTTCTCTTCTTGCTACTATGCTTGAGTTCTCTGTGGATTCTGGTTATAAGACCTTTGTTGGAAGCATAACCAGCAAATATCTTTTCCCATTCTGAGGGTTCTCTACTTACTTTTCTTACTGTGTTTGTGGCTGTGCAGAAGCTTTTTAATTTGAGGAGGTCTCAGTAGTATATTTTTGATGTTGCTTCAATTGCCTGGGGGTCCTCCTCATCACATTTTCGCCCAGGCCTATTTCTTCAAGAATTTTCCCTGCACTTTCTTCTAATGTTTTTATAGTTTCATGTCTTAAATTTAAGTCTTTAATCCAGTGAGAATCGATCTTAGTTAGTGGTGACAGGTGTGGGTCCAGTTTCAGTTTTCTGCCTGTCGCTAGCCCGTTCGTCCAGCACCATTTGTTGAATAGGGAATCTTTTCCCCATTCAATGTTTTTAATTGGCTTGTCAAAGATCATATAGCGGTAAGTAGCCGGGTTCAGCTCTTGGTTCTTTA